TCTCAGTGTCGCATGTAGCCTTATTGGATAGAGGATGCAGCTGAAAACCAAGAGTTTACTTTAAATCAATCATTAAAATGCTTGGCTTCTTAAGTTTTAAACAGAGCACAGATTTTAAGCTGGTGAGTTACTTGCAAAACCTTTTATGGCTGCTGTTTTGGGCAATCTGAAGTATGTCAACAGTTATCCAACACTTCCAGAGATATTTGTAATCCGGTGACCAATTTTATAGTTTTTGCTCTATCGGGATAGTAGCTAACTGTTTAAAAAGGAACTTGATTTTAGTTTAATCGTTTGTGGGCCTCGATTCTTGTGAAGAGCTGGAATTTTGTTGCTACCCTCCGACCAATCAGAGCTCTAATGCTGCACATATGATGCACACGTCTTGTCTGTTGAAATGACATCGCTAAAATTCCACCAAAGTGGAATTTAACCTTAGTCATAAAATCTGTCTTAGCATTCGTTTGCGTTTCTTTATGGCCAAGAAGTACGGTGGCACGGATGCCCAGACCATTTGTATGCTGTTACTCTTACAGGCTGTAACATGGGCTGTGCAGAGCTATCAACATTATGAGGCCGTGGTTCTTTAAATGAACACTTCAGAGGCCACATTCACTCACCTGGGACAGCTGTTGTGCCACACGTGATGGTGCTAATGGCTTCAGGGGCATGCATTAAGGAAGACCCTTGGGAGGTGGTGCACGCCATTTATCATTGTCGTGCATGCATACCACAGACACACCTGCTTGTTGCGACAGCCGAGACGATTTTTGCAGTCAAGACGTTTGAACTCACGCAAACCTCCTTTAAAGTGCAACTTTGCAATCAGCCAACACGTCATAGCAAACAGTGGCCTTGAAGTGGCATTACCATGGGCAGCTGGAAGGGCAATGGAATTGTGCCTCTAATTTGGGGTACACTCACTTTCAAACAGCTTATTGCATGCAGCTCACTGAGGTGGAATCTGCTTACCAACCGCCACCACATTTGGATGGTTCTCGAGGACGGTACAATGAGTAGGATTGCTAGCTAAAAGTGTTTTTTCTACATGAGAATTTGCTGAGGGTTGTAATCTTAAGGTTAATAATAGAGAGGATCGAGAGAGGTGACATAAGATGCCAGTGGATAATAAAATGAACAACTATTATGCTGTTTTGACTCATTGCAAAGTAATTGCAAAGTCATACAAGCACGTCAACCGAATGATGAAAAGATGAATCATGATTGGGTCAGTCATCAAAGGCTCCACACCTCTTTGCAGCATGTCCTTGTATTTGGAGACATTGGGCCACCGACACCAACTCCACCTCCACCATCACTTTGGAGGGTCCAAGTGGTTGGAGAGAAGATGACAATCACTACTACGACCACTAATTCAAACAACAGCAGTTGCACTCATTGAGAGTCTTTATTTGTTGTCTGGAAAACAGGACCCATGTGGAAACTCGGGGGCATCTGGTGGCGGGTGGCGGGTTCTTCTACTTGTACCCCACCTTGGAGCAGACATCAAAGGAGTCTTGAGAGACACTTCCCTCTGTTTCCTTAGTTTCACCTTTAAATGATTATGTTTACGATCATGTCTTATATTTCATTTGCGTAAGATGAGCTTTTCAATCGTGGGATAAATTTGCTCGTTTGGTTGTGCCAACGCAGCAGGAGCCACGTGATTGGTCAGGAGGTGCAAGAAGAGGAACAACCTTAGTCAGGCTCCTTGATGTTACGGACGTGTTAGCGCCGTGTGCATGGCCCAAATGTAAAATGATCGAAATCTCTCCATCCTAATAACTTGAAGCGGATGTTAGAAGGTCGTGGACAAGCTAAAGTGAATGACTTCGATTTTAACCAAGGAGTGAAGAATAGGTGTGCAGTCATAATGGCGGCTGTATCGAGAAGGTGGCTAAACTTTACCCGAGGATGTATCATTTGCAAACGATACTTCCCAATCTGCCCCTCCTCACCACTTATTCACATGTACGATTGGCAATTAAAAGAGGCCATGACTTATCCCTGTCCTTCCTCTCTTTATGACCCTTTTATGAGTTGGATTATCTGGTTGGTGAGTTAAACCTTCCTGCTTCTAGCTCTGAGCCTGTAAGAAGGAAGCAGAAAGTCACGCGAAAGCGTCTTACCCACATTTTAATTATTAAAACCCTCTTCCTCACACGTGTCCACCAAATCTACCCATTTAAAAATTCCAACGTTGTCCCTCCATCTCTCACCCCGTTCCGCTGCGTGTGGTGAGTGTTTTACTTCCCTTTCTCAAGTCGTCACTCTTATTTAAAAAAAAGGAATGGCAGGAGAGCACTATCAAGTCAAAAAGTGACACACTTCGGACGTGATTAACTTCCCCTACCTCCGCACAAGCGACTGATAATATCACCTCCTGTCATGAACTGTCACCCAGCGCTGGGCTTCTAAGGCTCGGGGACGCTCATCACTCCCAACCAATTAGTTGCCTCCAGCATCAAATATGACTCGTCTCCTTCCTCCCTCACACCCGTCAACTCGACAGCACTTCTTTTGCTCTCTACGTAGGGTTAATGCCTCGTTCTGGACAGACTTTTGAAGGTTGGCATTGGGTTTGAGGGATTTTCCTCTCACCTCCTGCGACGACTATCACTGTTTCACTGATAAAATGGTCGAATTAGGCGCATAAGAGATCAGTCTCAACAAGTCAGGTGGTTTGAATGACCCAACCAACCACCCAATAGTGGACACACCAGTTAGAATGCGACGCGAATTGGTTTGGTAAGGAATTGTCTTCCCATCTGTACACTCAAAAAGACACACCATTCCAGCAAGTCACATTCTTGTCGCCAAAGCCATAATTCATGATTAAACAGACCTGTATAATTGCGACCATCTTTAACGTCTTTACCCCGACAGCTCTCATTTCTTTCAATTGAGGAAGCCTTTCATAGCCTCTAGCAAAGTTACCAATTCTTAGCTCCACAATGTCCGACATCTTCCTTTACCTCTTTCCTAGTTAATGGAAAAGGGCTTTCGAATGTTTATTGTCTCGCCTTTCCCTAAGCCCTACTATTCGAGTGAACAAGTGTTCGAGGGTTATTTAGCACTTAAGTGCCACCAATGTGGACAGGAGGCTTCTGAAGAGACAAACTCGTGTCGTCTTTACTCCCTAAGATGTCAAAAAGGGTGTTTTTTCTTCCCTCTCAGAGAAGTCCTTACAAAATAGCAACTAAGTGGAGTCAAAAAGAAAAAAAACACTTCGTCTAAGCAGTGCTAAGTTCATCTAAAAGGTGCCTTCTTGCTCCCTTCAACTCCTCAGGCTCAAAGCGTAGCTGTGCCTTGCAATGCCCCAATCTGAGCAAATGAGGGAGGTGAGGTCATGGGACACAAAATCTAGGCATACGAAAGCGCAGCTTTCCATGCATCTGAAGAAGTCTGCAATTTGTTTTCCCCTCCATGTTTAATGCTCCACTGCAATGAGTTGTTTAATCCTCCATTTGAAATGGGTCATTTTGGACTCCTACTAGCGGTGTGACCTCCCTGCATCCAGCAATGTACACATTCGGAGAGGAAAGAAGTTGAAATTGAATGAGTTACATTTTTTCTTCTCCAAAACGGGATCATTCACCATCACTTCCTTTAAATCGCTGTTCTTCTGCTAAAACACGAGCATAAACGAGAATGTACCACAAAATGGGTAAGATTTAATTACTTTCTGAGTTATAACATAGCTCTTGTATGTCAAGAATTCCAATGGGTAACTCTTTAAAAATACTACTTAATTCCTTACTGGGCGTATATGCTAAGCCCACTTATGCGAGGAAAGGGTGCAGGCTAGGCTTGATAGGTTTACGAATCGCCGAAATTATCAACATAAAACATGTACTCTTGTGAAAGCCTCAAGGAATCAGTGGCGTCCAAAATGGTCAAAGTAGAGTGGTGTCAACTGGATTAATTGCTGACGGCCTCCAAATCAAATCAAAACGTGCGTAGTGCCATTGTGAAGTTTAAGAGGCCAAAAATCAGTACATAATTCCAATTCTGCTAGTGAAGCATAGAAGGGGAGTAGGGAGTGCTCCTCTTCAGCTCCCACCTCCAAAGTACAAGCAACTTCTAAAGAGATTTTTCAACACCCTAAAATTGTGTTTGCTTCCATTCATCAACTGGATGATTGGAAGCGCAAATGATTCTTATCGCCACCTTCTCACATGCGACTTGAAGTAAAAAGTTTTTTAATGCATGAGAGGGTGTAGTTTAATCCCCGGAGAGAATGCAATCGCAACGGTATTAGACTGATGCCCTCTTCTGTCTCCGTCCATCCTCCTCCCTAGCAAAAAATGGAGATCCATTTTTCACCTCTGTATGATGATTCACTGCTTTCAGGCATTCAGCAGTAGCAGCAGCGGCAGAGTTGTCATTTTGCTGTCGGTAGTCGGTCTTCTGACAGGTCCGACACATGACCGACCGACTGACTGACCGACCGACCGACCGGCATCACAAATCAGGGGCTAATCGGTCGAGGCTGTTTTGACACGCATGGAAAGACGAATGGTTCTGTTGCTATTTGTTTTCTTGCATTTTCTCACTTTTTAACTCCTTACTAAATTTGCTTGACGAAGGCGGAAGTTGGAGTGAGTGGTTAGGAAACGAGGAATGGGGATTACTTAAAATCTTGAGTGGCTTTTCTGCTTAGGTTTGGTAAATTCAGTTCTTATGGATTACTTTAGTGTTATTCTTCAGTCCCCACAGGATGGACTGCAACCAGACTGAAAGACACAGCGGACGCTCTATTTCTAAAACACTATTTCCTCTCAATCTGTTCCATTTCGGTACAGCCCCGCAGCCATCTGCGGCGCTAATAGAGGCAGCCGCCCAATGCTCCCAAATGTGCCACATCAAGGGAGCCCTTGACGTTGAGCTGTCCACCACTCTTAGTGGCATTTATTGGTTCACAAAGTATGTGTTGACGTTTGATTTATTGATGGGGAATGGAGGATGGAGACATGCAAGACAAGGGAGTGGATGGTGAGCTAGAGCTCCACAGTGCTCTGCATCCATTCCACAATTACAGAAAGTCCTTGACTTTGTAGTACTTGCAAAGGTGACGCCTTTATAGCGGAGGATTCGGTCAAGTTTCGATTCATCTTCGATGGCGTTGATCTTGAAGATGACCCACAGTTGGGTGGCTTCAAGGCTGCAAGCTGAAGCGGTGGGTATCGTCGATTTGAGGTGGACAAGGGAGTCTCAGGCGAGAGGTCGTAGCTGAGCTGACTGACACTGTTGTAGGGCTCCGTGACAATCTCACTCTCTCCCATCACCTCAATGCCACCGTCTACACGCATTTCCTTTGGATTAGAGGTTAACCAACTTCCCACAAACCATTTGAGCAGCCACAGTTCAAGTCAAATCGCCGAGAAAATCTAACTACATTAAAAAATGAACAAATTGACACTTCTCTTGTGTTGAGACTTTTGCTCTCCAGCTCCCTTAGGCACTTAATGGGAAGTAGCCACCTACCACAAGCATTGTGGCTGTGATGCATGTCATGAGCTACTCCATACGCCATTCATCATCGTGGCAGACGGCGGTGATCGTGTGTGTCGACGTGGGAAAGTGCGTGAAGAGGGGAATCGGCAGTAGAAAGTTGTCTCCTCTCACTGTCGTCTACGTGGATCTACAGACAAATGGAAGCTTTTGGTATACCAACAAAATGGCTACGATGACTTTGGGGAAGGGGAAGATTTGAACACTCAACGGAGGTGGAAAAGGAGGGTTTACTGCCTTTGGCTGCAAACTTGACCATCAACCACATTGACAAGTTTTTTGTTTTAATAGTCAAAATTGTTTTGCAGACTTTTGTTTCGGATGTCGGCTCTTGCTTTTTGCCTCTTTAACCCGTTTTAACATTCGAAAATTGCTTTTTACCTTGAAAAATTAACTCACCAACGAACTTCTTAAAAATTACCAGTGTGAGACTCAAAGGAGCAATTAAGGTAACTGCAGTGCTCTCTTCTTACTGAGTTATGCACGGGTGATTTGTAGATGGTGGAGGGAGCGGCAAACACACACAAAATTTCTCTACATTTGTGGTGGAGTGCGCTCCTCAAACCATCCCACCGCGCCACCACCACCGCCACCTCCGCTGCCAGCTCCAGTAACAACAAAGTTATGAGGTAAACTCTGCAATGCGTGCGAATTCATGCTAATGTGATCAAAGAA